TATATATATATAAACCTTGGCGCTAGCACAAAAGCTAGGAGGCTTTTTGGCCCTTTTGGCGCTGCCTCGCTTCACCCCCGAAGTGAGGAAACACAGAGGCATCCTGAAGACGTTGACTCAGTGTTTTGTGAAGAGACAGGGAGTCCTGTCAAAATAATTAGCCTTGACAGCATTAAATCTTTAAATTTGTCCTTTTAACTAAACTTTAATTGGAAACTTGCTGCTGACTGTCGCTGCTGCAGTGAATGTTGGTTCAGAATCAGAGTTCAGCTCATTTGTGTTGGATAAGGTTAACCAGCAGCAGCAGCCACCTTGAATCAGTAAATAAAGATAAAGATGGCTGCAGATAAACCAGAGGAGGAGCCCAGAATGAGTAAATCAGCCTCCGGCTCCACGTCTGATGTCACAGCTGATCGGGTGCCGACCGCTGAGAAACCACGTGATCCTTTTAACCCTGTTAGTTTGTCACAGTTAACCCTCCCGCCGGTCGCTGCGCTGCGCTGCGCTACACCACGCTGTAACCGGAGGCGGGGAGAACACTTAATCCCTCAGCACCTGCCTCAGAACCCGCCGGGTCTCTCTGCAGCTGCACCTTTCTGCCCTCATGCCTTTATTCCACATGTGGCTGCAGCTACCAGGGGCCAGGGAGGTGGGGGGTATTTGCATGTGTGCAGATCTGCTTCTGTGTGTCATTAATACAAACACAAACCGAGCAGAGCAGAGCACAGGGATCAGATTTCAGCCTGAATATGACGACAGGATGCGGTCAGTTACCAACAAACTATGAGATAAAAAAGTTAACTATTTTATTAGAGTCAATTATTTACAAACATTAAAGCATTAAAACTGTGAAAATAAATGTTGTTGCTGGATGAGAGTTATGCTACATGTCTGTGTGAGAAAACAAAAAGAAACGCTGCGACTCATCGCTCACTGATCGCTCCTCCATCCTCTCTCCTCTCCTCCCCACAGCTCCCTCCTCGTCCCTCAGAGGAAGGAGGGATGGAGCAGGAGGAGGCAGCAGGAGTATTTCAGGCGCAGACGTGCCTCATGTGGAAGTTGACCACGTACTCGGCGTTGGTCCTCTGCACTGAGATGGCGAACGGCTCGAAGGGATGGAAGGTGAAGGCGACCAGGCGGCGCACAGCGTGGTTGACGGGCCGTCCCAGCAGGCCCGCCTGGATCTTAAACTTCAGCAGGCCCGAGTCCCGAGCGTAGAACCTGGAGAGCGACAGAGAGACAAGACGGATTCATTAAAACCCAAAACCTGAGAACTGAGCTCATCTTACAGATCTGCAGCTGATTAACATGTGAAAAACTTTGGTTTTGTTTTATTTAAAGGGATCCAGGATTAGTTGTAACATTAGATTTTATTTAATAAACATGTATTTTAAATGTAAAATAAACAC